ATGCCCAGCTTTTTGTGTGGATTCTGTGCATCCCCAGCCTTTTAAAGTTCTGTCTTCTCTCTAGACCAGCAGTTCTCAACCATTGAGTTGTACAACCCTGTCACAGTGGTTGCATAAAAGATATTCTGCATATCAGATATTTATCTCAGAATTTGTAACAGTAGCAAAATTAGAGATATGAAGTATCAAAGAAAATAATTTTATTGTTGGGTCACTACAACATGAAGAACTTCATCAAAGGGCTGCAGCATTAGGGAGTTTGAGAACCACTACCCTAGCCGTTCTCCTTTATCCTATGAACAGAATCACCACGAGGTGCCCAGTGATCTCCCCAAGAATACAAAGATCTCAAACCTGTTTGCATCCAGCCTCATGTCTGAAGCCACATTCCTTCCCCTGGATCCCCTGGGAGCCTACAGACCTCTACACAGGGTGCATCCTCAGTTTGTGGAACTCTTTCCCACTCTCATTCCAACAGGCTGGCCACTGGCATTAGTCACCTCCCTAAAGTTCTCTTCCCATGGTCTGAGCCAGACACTGCAGCCTGATGCCCCCCTATTACTACCCAACCCCCAAGGCACAGAGTTCCCTGCCTTACCCCTACCTTGGCTCCCATGTGCGTACATTCCAGCATGGACCCCTCAGCAGCCTCCAGCCATACCTACCTTATCCAGACTTCTTCCCTGCTATTTGCCAATGAAGTCGACTGCCTCCTGTTGACACCCAGGCCCTAACAGTGTTGCTATGGAGATTCTAAACAGCAGCTGAATACAAGAGGGAAAACCATCAGGGAAGCCCATAAACACAGAAGGCAGACAGGAATAAAGACTGGGTCCCTGATCCCAAGTAAGAATCAACCAGCGAGGAAAGCCAGGGTGAGAACATTGGCAGCAGATGCCAAGGTCTGGTGGCTGGAAAGAAAAAAAAGCTGAGGCTAGAACACAGGAGCCCTGGGGCCTGCATGTCATGCCAGCGGTGTGACAGAAGGTTGCTGGGTTACCCAGAGGTTGACACAATCAGCTTTGTGTGGAGACTTGTAATGTGTGATGACCATTGGACAGCATCAGCATGGATATAGGAAGCTCAAGGGTGAAGCTACTGCCCAATGTGATCCAGGTGAGAGCAGATGGTCACTTGGAGAAAGTGATGGCTTTGGGGATCAGGTGCACCCATTGACGTATGGGATCTGGAGAATGGGGCAGGTGCAATGATACGAGGACCACTAGCTTATGCTACTACACAGGAGGGAGTATGGTGTAGGAGCCACTCCAGGGTCTGGCCTCACAGTGCCCATTACACTTGCTAATGAGGAGCTGGAAGCTTGCTCCAAGAGGCCTGGAACCTAAAGCAAGATACTGGCTCTCTGTCCACAGCCACCCACCTGGCACCTGACAGCACTGGCTGGGAGGAGCTGTCTGCGGTGAGGTAAGCTGCCTTGTTGCTGAGGCAGAGCTTGTGCTTCTCAAGAGACAGAATGACTCATTCTGATAATTGAATTTTTGAGTTAGACTTAAAATACGGCCAAGATTGAAGAGGTAATCTGCCAGGGCCCACTTCCCGAAGGCACCCTTTTTGGCCTCTACAGTACCAAGACCTTATTAACAAGATCACTCTTTCTAGGTTCCCGAAGGCAGGCTTTTTGGCCTCTACAGTACCAAGACCTTATTAACAAGATCACTCTTTCTCCGTTCATGGGTCATTTACAAGCAGTTCTCAGGGATGCTGTGTCAAGGAATTCAATGTGGGTTTCAGAGCCCCTACCCTGGCCAGGACATTGCCCTGGAAAGTGTGGGGGAGAAAGGCTCATAATGCAGAGGAATGGCTAGTTTTATCCAACAGACATTCTTGGGAGAAAGATCCAGAAGGCAGGATCATTCAGAGAGGGGATTCTAAAAGACCGTCTCCTCTGTGGTGAAATGTGCAGGGGTGCAGATAAGGGAGGTGACTGACAGAGAGCTTTTGCACCTTGGGCTTCACGGTGGGGCAGAGAAACACATGGGGGTGAGAAAGGTTGAAGGCCACTCCCAAGGTAGACAGCCTGGCCCCCTTTTCTCTCTCTATATTTAGCATCTGCAGCTGGGTCTCTCAGGTGCAGCTGCTGCTCAGGCACACGTGGTGATTAATTCACCAACGGGAAATTGACGCTTTTTTTTTTTTTTTTTTTTTTTTTTGATTACTGCTTCAGAGCCTCCTGAATTCAGCTGCTGGTAAAATTAACTCACCAGGGACAATAGAGCATTTTCCAAGGTCCAAACTGTCCTTATTTGCAGTTTGTTTTTGGCCCTCATCCAGCCAAAACAAACCAGCATGCTTCCCCGCCCCCCCCCCCAGACTAGGGAGGGCCTTCCCTAGCTCATGTCTGGCAGTATTTTAGGCTACAAAATAACATCACAGCTACTTTGTACTGTGTTGATGAAAGACTGTGGGAGACCTGAAAGTGAGGTAACCCTGGGCTGCCAGCTATTCTGCCCTGCAGGGTCTGCTCCCAGGCACCCCAGGTTTAGTAACCAGGGGTTCCAAACCCCAAGCTCATGCCTTTGCCAATGACCAAGCTCAACCCCCGCCCACAATGAGCTAAGCCTACTCCAGGCAGGATAGTTCTGTTCACTGGAGATACACCTGAACCCAGGCCTGTCATTAGCCTGGCCTGGTGTTCCCCAGGAGCCTGCAGCAAATCACTGTCACATATGCACCTGTGCACATCTGACAGAGGCACTCTAGACCACACTTCAAAAACTGCCCTGAGTTCAGCCACTGAGACACTGAAGAAGAGTGTTGACTCAGGACAAGAGTCTTATTGTTCAGCTAACTCAGTTTTTACAGCTGAAAACACCAGGACTGGGTGGAAAGGTAGCTCTCTCTAAGCAATAGTGCAAACTAAGGACGGAAGCATGCAGCTTGGGACTAGAAGCCAGGTCTGATGCTCTCTTCAGCAGACAAGCTTCTCAGGAAGAGGGGTGACTTGTAGATAAAGGAACCCCGAACAAAGCAGTACCTACATCTGCTTTTCACACACCGGCACATCAGAAAATGATGCAGCTGTACAGAAGAGAACACAGATGACAGGAGCCCATGCAGGAAGAGGCTGGCCCCACTGAGCAGATGGAGTCAGAGTGCAGGCACCTGGGCTTCAGCTCTCCTCTAGCTGGGCAGTTGAGGTCCCTGACAGTTGCCTTGTTTGGGTAGCTATGGGGCAGCAGGGGAAGCCAGTCTGGAGTCTGGAAGGAAGTGAAGATTGGCCATTCCAACTGCCAGCACAACCAGCAACTACCCCCCCACCCCCTCCCGGGTGTGTGTGTGTGTGTGTGTGTGTGTGTGTGTGTGTGTGTG